TGTCAGGAAGGATCAGAGCTGTCATCCCGCTGTGGGGATCCTGACTGCTGGCAGTTATCAGCCACTGGAGCAGTTGGTTCCATCTCAGTGGTGCCTTTATTCACTGCAATGTTTTTACCCAGCCTCTGAACACTCTGCAGTGCACTAGGGAAATACCTGACCAGGTATTAAGAATGAAAATTCATTTATCTGGAAGGGCAATAAATGACTGAGTGGAGCCTGGGACCAGTGTGGGTGCTGCTTATCAGCTCAGCCCCATGCTGATGGTCACAGAAGCTCCTGGCTGCTGCTTTCCCCTTGCTGGCACCATCATCCTGCCCATCAAAAGGGTGGCATTCAGGTATCTTCTGTCATTTGCACAAACTGTCAAGCTGGTAAAAAACCTCCTGGATTGTCCTTATGGCTGTGACCATGGAACATTCACTACTGACCTCTCTGATGGGAGTGAGATCCCACGAGCTGCAGGGAGCAGCAAGAAAAAAGACTGTGGTAGGACAACAAAGTCCAGTGTCACAATTTGTGAGTGCCTGAGGCTTCTCCCATACAGTTTCCTAAAATCCATCATCCCCAGTCTGGTGCTTATGGATCTGTTTCTTTGGTTGCCCTCCTGCTGACCTGCAGAGACTCAGTGATAGAAATTTGTAATGTGCTTTTATAGCCCAGCTCTGCAGCCCTGTTCTGGAACAGCCAGTTACACTGTTAATTATTTATCTTTAACCTTTCTGTTAACCAAACCAATCCATTCCCTGACATCAGTGATTTTACTCTTTCATTAAGTGAATGATGGTGTGCTGATGTTCTACAGGAAGTGCTTCAAGTGATATCTGTAAATAGAATTTAGTAATTATAAAAACCTTGGGTTCATTCCCCAGGAGTCTCTGTAATGGGCTACAGAAATTCAGTGCATACCAGAAGCTCATATGTAACAGTAATTTAATAGGATTCTCTGTCACTGACCAGTGCCAAAAACAAAAGGAGGAACAACGAGAAGTTATCAGACATTATTCCTACTCACTCTGCCCCTGGTAGTGGTACAACACAAAGAAAACTTTGTGATCTCGTGAGCAGGTTACTTACAGAGCAGGACCACTCTTATTTCCACAAAATATGCAACTGTAGGTAGTAAAGTAAAAACATGTCCACACTTGCAAACAACCAATAATTTGAAGCTCTGCTGCTGAAAAACAGACAAAACCAATCAGATTCTGAAAGATGAGTATTCTGGTAGAGGAATTATTTCCAACTCTATCCACTTGCAGCCCTCCACTGATAAAAGGAAATAAGATCTTGATATGCTGCCATAGAAACAAGTGTTTTTGCCAGGTTTTGCATTTAAACAGCCTGTGTCTGCTGAATTTTTAAAGCTAATCTGCCTATTGCCAGTCTCTGTAACAGCCCAAAACACAGTTCTCATCTCTCAAATTTATAGATTCACAGTCTGCTCTTCTCTTTCTTTCCTAGGATTAGCTGCAGCATTTCCTATCAACCACAGATTAAAACAGCAAATCTCTTTGCTGCATATCATATGCCAGCAATCTCCATTTATGGTCTGAAAATACTTCATAATCCTATTTGCTGTTTGGCTCAGACAATAGAGCCCTTTGGATTTGGTTTCATTTCTTTGGAAAGTGCTGGATATTTCTGTTAGTCTGAGATACACAATCACTGTGCTGAGGGCAAAGCTAAACAAAAAAAAAAAAAAACAACAAATCAGCACCAAAGACAATCCAGTGCCTCCTGCAGTATTGGCAAGGATGAACAGTACCAGCCCAGCATCGCAATAATGCTAAAGGTAAAACTCTGCCCCAGGTGTGACAGAGTAGAAGAGGTAAATGCTCAGGATTTGTCTTTTCTGAACTGGATTTTCAATTCAACTTTATATTTAAGAAAAATAGGATGTTTACTAAAAAATGTAGTATTACATATTTTATAGATTTTTAACAAAGATCAAACGTACTTGCATTATATTCTATAAATATTTTTAGTATAAATTACTTAAAATATTGAAAATCACGTTCTGAAAAGTAAATTTTCTCAGTGGAACCTGACTGTAAGTGTGCAAAACTCAAGTAATGTCTTTTCCTCACGTAATCTTCAAAAGTTCTCACTGCTTGAGTTGTCCTAAAAGCTACCCTGCCAGTTCTGATCCCGCAACATTTTGTCTGTTCCAGACAAAAATAGAGCCTGCAAAGCCCCAAAATTCTCCTGCTGACTAGTAACAGAGTAAAGTCATCATGATCCTGTTTTCTATACCTGTGTAAGCAAATACTTTTTACTATAGCAAAGTGAACTCTTAATTTTGATTAAGTCAGCAAACTGATTTTGTGAGTCCTGCAGCTGAGCCTTGATGTCTCGTGTTAAATAATCTTTTTCATCACTCTGTATGGTTAGAGCTGAAATGTAACAGAATGAGAATAATATGATAATGAAGGAGAAAGGACAGATTCTACTTTCATTTGTGCCTGTGTCTGAAATAAGGTGGTTGGTCCTAGCCAAATATTGATCAAGTCTTGGGAAAGTTCTCCAAAATCAAAACACAAATTCCAACAGAATTAAAAGCAGAATTGAAGAGCATTTATATTTCCTGGACTTCTCTGTGAAGTGACTACAGGTTTCCTTGAAAGCTCTCAAAGTAGTGCTCCTAAAAAGAGAAAAACCCCATAATATATGTCACAGGAATGCACAAACTTTGTGGGCCTGAGGATTAACAACGTAATGACCTTTACAATTTAACAGTAAAACGTACCTGTTACACCAGCACTGTATCTGAACTATGAAGTGATTTTGGGCAACATATGTAAAAAAAAAAAAACAACAGTGAAACTATAATGACCTTTACACCAGCACTGTATCTGAACTATGAAGTGATTTTGGTCAACATATGTTTTAAAAAAAAACAACAGTGAAACTATATTTAACATTTACAGCTACTAAACTGTTAGACTACTCAGAATATTAAAACTCAACAATATTAAAAAATGTTAAAGAATGTGTATGGTGAAATTTATTTTAGTTTTACCTGAATCAGTGATTTTGCCACAGTACAGGAACTGAACGACAAATTGCAATTATTACCTGGGCATTTGTTAATACACTGCACAAACTTAAGAGTCATTTTTCTATGGGTAGATTTGTATAGGATTATAAAATCCAGAAGAAAAAAAAAATACAGCTAATGTGAAAATACGATTTTTAATTAATCAACTGCCTGTGATTTTTGAAATTACCAGAATTGGTAATGGCTTTGGAACTTGCTTGCTTCATACTTCACAATGGCTTTTGAAACCACTGGTGTTTTGCAGTTTGCTTTATAGGCTGTGGCCAGAGGGGAGGTTTTGATGAGGAGAACTCATCAGCTGCTGTCTGTCTGTGCACAGGTGCATGACAAAGGATTCACAAAGCAAAATGATTTCTTTAAAGTCCAGTAGTTGATATTTATTTTTTTCTTTACTCCCATGGGTAGTTTTAAACACCACTGACTGTGGTGTTTAAAACACATCTGACTATGTTTTAGTATGAAAATGCCATTTTACAAGGTTTTCAAGTCACAAAAAAATAGGATAAATAGTGTAACTCATCTCCTGTTAGAATATCACATTTGAATCTAAACATATTCCGTAAGGAACCTCAACATGAAACAATAATTTGTTTATTTCACATAACTCAGTGTGGTGACAGAACGTTTTCACGGCACATTTGGTCTGGTGTAAGCAGGACTTCAAAGCCAGTGCAAGCATCCAAGCGGGCCACTGCTCACTGTGGATCCACCACATCAAATGTGGATTTATCATCGGTGATGTGCAGTTACAACACAGAGCAGATGATTGAGAAGATAATTTCCTTCAGTCTTGACAGAGAATAACAGCAGAAGTCTTTGAAATAAAGTCAAAGGTGTTCCTTCCAGCACCAGTCTTGGCAGTCTGCAGAGAAACGACTTCAGCGAATTTCACACACACACAGAACCATGGAATGGGTTGGGTTGGAAGGGACCTTGAACTCATCCAGTGCCACCCCTGCCATGGGCAGGGACACTTTCCATTATCCCAGCTTGCTCCAAGTCCAGTCCAACCTGGCCTTGAACACTCCCAGGACAGGCCGCAATGTGTGTGCTCGGGTCAGGACTCTGCCCGGGGGCTCCCAGCAGTGTCCCCGTGTCCCTGTCGGTGTCCCCGTCCCCACTGCAGCCAGGCCGGGGCGGCCGGTGGCACCACTGACCCGACACAGCCCCATGGCCCGAGGGCTCTCCGGGCTTTGGCCACGGGCCCTGCCTGGTGCTCAGGCATGGCTGCACGAGCAGTTTGAACAGGCTTTTTCTTGGTGGGTCCGGAGAAAAGCGGTGACACCAGCACTTGATACCGGCACTGACATCGCCACTGGTACTGATACCAGCACCGGCACCAGCACCGGTACCAACACCGACACATCAGCAGCGACAACCAGCACCGGCCCTGGCAGCAACATCAGCACCAGCACTGACACCGGCACTGAGCACTGCACCCAAACCGATACCGGCACTGGTACCAACACCAACACTTGTACTGACACCGACATCACCGCCACCACCTACACCAACAACAACACCGGCACCAACACCGACACCAGCACTGTCACCGGCACTGAGCGTGGCACCCAAACCGATACCGGCACTGGTACCAACACCAACACTTGTACTGACACCGACATCACCGCCACCACCTACACCAACAACAACACCGGCACCAACACCGACACCAGCACTGTCACCGGCACTGAGCGTGGCACCCAAACCGATACCGGCACTGGTACCAACACCAACACTTGTACTGACACCGACATCACCGCCACCACCTACACCAACAACAACACCGGCACCAACACCGACACCAGCACTGTCACCGGCACTGAGCGTGGCACCCAAACCGATGCCAGCACCGGCACTGGTACCAACACTAACACTTGTACCGACAGCGACATCGCCGCCACCACCTACACCGGCAGCGACACCGGCAGCCACACCGACACCGGCACCTCACGGCTGCCGCTGAGGGAGGGCGAAAAGGGCGGGAAAGGACGGCGCGCACCCGAGGCGGGAAGGGGCGCGCGGGCCGGCGGCGTTGGCGGCGCCTAGTGGAGGTCCCAGAGGTCGCGCAGCGGCGCGGCCAGGCGCGGGTCCCGCGCGCGCAGCGCCCCCGCGTGGGCGTGGCGGAGCGAGCGCAGCTCCGTGAGGCGCCCCAGCAGCCGCGCGAAGCGCTGCGGGTCCCGCGGGTGCTGCAGCTTCGAGTGCTTGTACAGGATCCCCAGCAGCGGCTCCTGCAGCTCCTCCACATGGCGCTTGTCCCTCAGCAGCGGGCGGTCTGCGGGAGAGCGGCGGCACGGAGTGAGCGGTGAGCGGGATGTCCCCTCCGGGTCCGGGCCGCGCCGCCGCCCCTGAGGGGACAAATGGGAGCTTCCCCGGGGCAAGTGACAGCTCGTTGTTGTCACCTTCCCAGCTTACCTGAAAAGAACACTGTTGTTGCTACGAGCAGAGCGTATTCTGTCTCGGTCACTTTGAGTTCCCCCATGGTTCTGTAGAAGTAGAACAGGGCGGTGATGAACTCCTCAGTTATGCCTTGAAAATGGGAAAAAAACCCCAACATTTTTTGGTTAAAAAAATCCAAACCAAACCAAAAAACAAACAAACAAAAAACAAAAACAAAAAAAAAAAAAACCCCAAACAAACAAAAAAACCCCGTGCAGAAATAATGAGGATGTTATTTCAGTGCAGAAAGAGTTTCAAATCTTTGCCTGAAGGGTGGCATGTGACCCTCCCTGGATCCATCTGGATCGCAGTGTCTGGCTCTGCGCTCCCCAGGACAAGGGACATGGAGCTCCTGGAGCAGGTCCTGCCGAGGCTGTGGAGCTCGTCAGGGGACTGGGGCATCTCTCTTACGAGGAAATGGGGAATGGTTGGACTCTGTGATCTTAGAGGTCTTTTCCAAGCTAAATGATTCCATGATTCTGTGAAAGGCTGAGGGAGCTGGGGCTGTTCAGCCTCGAGAGGAGCCCCAGCTGAGAGGGACCCTCAGCCCTGGGTGTCCCTGTCTGCAGGGAGAGCAGGGACCGGCAATGACACCAGAGGAATGGGCAGGAACTGATGCTCAGCAAGTTCCACCTGAACATGAGGATAAACTTTCCTGTGGGGGAACAGATTGCCCAGAAAGGGTGTGGAGCCTCCCTAACTGGAGATATTCCAGACCCATCTGGAGATGAGCCGGTGCCATTGCTCTGGGATGACCCTGCCAGAGCAGGGAGGTGGCACCAGGTGACTGTGATCCCTTCCAACCTCACCATGACTCTGTGATTCTGTGAATCTTTTAAGGCTTGGGGCTGTCCCATTGCATGAAATAGTTAACTAACTTTGTGAAAACAATGTTAATTGCTAAAATAATAACAAAAGCTGTATGGCAGTTGTACTGTGTAGCTTTGAATGTGTATATTACTCAAGGGATATAAGCAAGCATGAAGACACTTCTTCCTGCCATGAGGATGTAATGCCAGTGTGTAATATCAGAGCAGCTCAAGGGAGAGGGAGAGGAGAAGGAAAGGGAGAGGAGAGGAAGGAGAGAAGCAAGGAGCTGGAGCAGTGGCCATAGGGACAGTGTAGCTCAGTGGAAGAAAAGTAGGGCCAGTAAAGCAAAAAATTCACAATGTTTAGATTCTGAGACCTCCTTTACCTGTGGTAGTAGTAGAAGTTGGCCTCTCTTTATTATGACACATTTCCATGGAATAAATATTGTTTTTATCAAGGCTTTGAACATGACAACATGTCCCGTGATCAGAAAGTCTTACATGACCTGGAACAAGGCAGATGACAGTTCCCAGTCAAGCTTAAAGTGATCTTAAATATTTGTCTGTATCATTGCTGAAAATGTGTGAATTTTTACCAGACCCACAAAGGTATAAAATCCAAGTTCTTTTGTTGCGTTTTTATTGGTTAAGGTCTCTTGTGTTAAATTTGACACAATGTATAATATGTAATTAATACAGCTGATATCATCCACTCACCCCACAATGACACAAGTCAAGTATTTCAGACCTACTTTCACTGGTTGATGGCTGGCACTCGCTCATTCTTTGGTTGTAAATTTGGGCTGATCTCAAGAACATTGCCTCCACTGTGGACCCTTTCAGCAGAGCAATCTGGTCCTCACTGGCTAAACTCTCAAACCCTGCAGAGAAAGGTGCACGTTCAGGATCAGGGAAGGCTGGGGCTGCCTTTAAGCCCCCAACATGATGTGAACTTTAATTTTTTTAAAATAAATATCTTTACTGGAAAGGGGGAACCACAGTTAAATGACGCATGTGCGAAAGACTTGGGATCTTTCTTGCTAGTTTGCAGATTAGACAATAAAAAAAAAAGAGGGCAGTTTTCAGTGTTAAAAGATTCACAGGAAGATACAATTAAAAATTTGGGACTAAGCAAGAGGTTATCAAAGCATTCTTCCTAATATCTGATAAATGTAGGCCTAACCTGATAAATTTGCTGCATTGTTTAGTGACTGTGGATACTCCATTCATTGTTACGTTATTTTCTTTTAAGAAATTGTGTTCATCTTTTGACAAGCTCATTGTCTGCACTTGTAATTCAAGAGCAGAGGAACTTTTTTGTGATTTTTTTGTTAAACCTGATCAAAGCAGGATGTGTAACACAAGCAAATAGACAGCTCACCCCTTCCTTCAGCTCTGCCTCACAGAGATGCTAAATTACATCAAATACCTGCTTTAGATATGGTGATTGACCTTTGTCAGTGCGTTTTACAAAGAAAAGTTATCACCCTCCCTGTCAAATGTTACTTTGTCAACTCTACACTGAAACAGAGTGAATTTAATTGCATGTTCCCTTGTTCTTTATGAAAGGAAAATATGAATAAGAACACCTGGTTAGTCCCTTCTGTGCTGCCTTTTCCTTTGAAGGAACATCTGTTTTTTCCTTTGGTGATTATGATAAATTGAAGACTCAACTGGATTTCAGAGAACGTGGTGAGATAGTAATTCCCTCAAGGTGTTATTTTGAGGTCCATGTGCTTCCAGAAAATGTCTCTACTCCATGTCAGAAATGGAAAAAAAATCTAATCATAGCAAAGTTTTGAACTGAAAGCTTCTACGTTGTCCTCATGACACGTAAATGGCAAGTTAGAAGTACAAATAATCAGTTTAAAGCCTTTTCTTAAAGCCTGTATTTTTCTCTGGTTCATGCCATCAGTTTGATTTGGTTCCTCTAAGGAAGGAACCCAAAGGAAGGAACTCACCTGGCAGTCTTTTTGTGAAATCCACCAACACCTGGACATGGACAACGGCCGTCTCAGACAGGTGGAGGAAACTTTCCTCAGGACTTGCAGTTTCCTGTAGCTGCAAAAAGAGCATTTGCACACTGGATATAGCCAAGAGACATAACAACAGCGACTGAGCAATGCAGGCTGGGGGTGCTGGATACCTACAAACTTCTTGGCTTCCTCAAGGGGAATTGTGTATTTTTGGTGTGCTGCTACAATGTGGTCAAGAAGCTGATGTTCTCCTGGAGTAAGTTCCATCTTCTCTGCGATCTGCTAAAAAAAGAAACCAATCAAATCACAATGACTTGGAGTAAGAATAAGTGATAAAAAGAGATATTTTAAATAGAAAAATATCCCACTTTTCCAGATCTTGTTGTAGATGATACTTGCTTACTATTCAGTCCCTCATCTTCCAGCTTTATGTTGCAAAGGAAGCTGCTCTTCTGCTTGAAATTCTTCCTGAGTCGCTTTGACTTGCACTGGACTTCAGTCAGCAAACCTGTGAGGTGTGAAGTGACCATCACTGCTTGCATTTTCAATTAATTACAGTCTGAGTTCATCACTTTTATTAGAGATAACTCCAGTCTTGCATCACAGAAGCTGTCACCTGTCATGAGCTATGTTTCCTAGAGATTGTGCCTGTGTGTTACTTACCAGGTGAGCTGGTGTTCAGTAGCCACCAAAGGCCTGAGGGTCTGCAGGCAACTTTGTCCTTGTGGCTCTGTGACACACAGGCATCAGAATTTTTTATCAAAGCCCATCATGCCATTTTTATTTAACTTTTTTCCCTCAAATCCTAAAGCTCATCTGATCTGCTCACTGCTGTCCTGACAAGTCGGGGGATATTTAGCTTATCTTGCTAGTACTTCCTTCTTTTTTTCTTGTACTGTTTTTGAACAACAGTTCTCTTAAGATCAGGGGATACACCAAGATGCTACAGGTGCCACCATCCCCAAAGTTAATTTTCACAGAATCACAGAATCACCAGGTTGGAAGAGACCTTCAAGGCCATTGAGTCCAACACAGCCCCAACACCACAACTAAACCCTGGCACGGAGTGCCACATCCAGGCTTTGTTAAACACGCCCAGGGATGGTGACTGCACCACCTCCCCAGCAGCCATTCCAGAACTTTATCACCCTTTGCGTGAAAAACTTTTTCCTGATATCCAACCTAAATTTCCCTTGACACAGCTTGAGACTGTGACCTCTCTGTCAGTGCTGCATGGAGAAAGAGCCCAACCTGAGCACAGCCACCTTTCAGGAAGTTGTGGAGAGTGATAAGGTCGCCTCTGAGTCTCCTTTTCTCCAGGCTAAACAACCCCAGCTTTTTCTACATTTTCCTACAGCCAAATGAAGCTTAGCCATTATCCTCGGGAAGAGACTGACTTTGGAGAAGGTTTCATCTGCGGTGATTAGTCAAGAATCCAGCAGGAAGGAGCACTCACATTCTGCCAGCATTCCCACAGCTCTGCACTTCTTGAGGCGGCACTCCTGGCACTTCCTCCTCATGTACATGTCCATCTCGCAGTGCCCGCCGCTCTTGCAGCGGTACACCGCGTTCTTGGTGATGCTGCGCCGGAAGAAGCCTGCGAACGAGCACCAGCTTGTGAAAAACATGTTTACTTGTGAAAATTTAAAAAGTTCAATAAAGGACAGTGGGAGACAAGGACCATAGAGCAAAGGTTATTACAGCCAGGTGCATCTTGGCACTCAGTTAAGACTGCACTGTTACTTTTGGGGATACACCTTAAATATTTTTTCTCTTACATCAGCCTGTTGCATATTTATAGACTTATGTATATCTATAAACTCGTTTACATTTTTCAGGAACTATTTTACATGCCTTCTCTTTGGTCTGCTTTTTTAGAGCATGTGTGTTTCTTGGCTGTGGTTTTGGCTCCTTCTCTTTATCACTTCCAGTTTGGGCCTTGGTCCACACTGTCTTCAGATGGTGAGTGCTGATAGTTGGCAGATCTGTAGCAGGTGTCTTTATTTTATGTTCACTGGATGTTATCTTATTCAAATAGGCATTTTAACACAAGTATACCTATATTAGCTATCTCACTACTATGTCTGAGTGTAATTAACAACAGAAATAAAAACTATATCTTTATAGCAGAGTTACTTTAACATCACACATATAAAATCCATTTTAATATTTGCGAATAGTCAATATTACAATATGTATCTATAACAAGGTGATGGCTGGAGCAATCAAAGGAGCTTTATGCCACAAGGATTTAAAAGTGTCCTCTGGGTTTGAGTGGGTTTTTTAAATGGAAACGTTACCTTGATTTTAAATCTGCTTTTTAAAAACATAGTTATGTCTGATTCTTTCCGACTGATATTAATTGACATTTTCCATACATGGAATCATAGAATATGCTGATTTGGAAGGGACCCACAAAGATCACCAAGTCCCTCCCCTGGCTCTGCACAGACACCCCCAAATCCCAGCCTGTGCATCACTGAGAACAGTGTTCAAATGCTCCTGGAGCTCTCGGGGCTGTGCCCATTCCCTGGGCAGCCTGAGCAGTGCCCAGCACCCTCTGGGGGAAGAACTTTTCCCTTAATCCACCCCTGACACAGCTCCAGCCCTTCCCTCAAGTCCTGTGCCTGGTCACAGGGAGCAGAGATCAGAGCTGCCCCTCATGAGACAGCTCCCATACCAACAAGTTAAAATATGATTAGTAAGTAATTACTACTTGCTTTTATTCAATTATAATAACAAGTGTAATTAATAACACTGAAATAAATCTCTAAGAAATGTTCATGAGAAAACCAGCACCTGCTTACACTGACACTATTCTAGCGAGTCATCAATGCAAAAATGAGATGCTTAAAGTCCTCGTATTGAATACAGACTGTGAAAAGATTTCTTCAAAGAACGTTATAAAAACATGAATTTGGAGTGAGCTTGTTAGATGGGTGGTTCATTAGCTCAATTAAAAGCCAGTGTAGTAACAGGCGCTGAAATGAGCGTGGAAGGTTGCACGGAGGGCTCACCTTTGCAGCCCTCGCAGGTCAGTGCGTTGTAGTGATACCCCGAGGCCTTGTCCCCGCACACCACGCACAGCTCCTCCTGCCCCTTCAGCCTCACCGGGTGGCTCAGCCGGGGCCTCTTGAGCCCCTGGCACCCGCCGTCCTCCCCGTGGGGAGGCAGGAAGGGGCCCTTGCTGAGCTCGCAGCCGCTGCCCACGCAGGGCCCGTCGCCGTACGGGGGGTCCAGGCTGTAGGAGCCGTAGGGGCCCGGGGCAGGCTGGGGCTGCAGGGCTGGCACGGGCACTGGCACTGCTGAGTACTGGCAGTACGGCGCAGCCTGGAAATCCGGGTCCTGCAGCTGGTAGTTGATGTGCTCCGGTAAAACATCTGCTCCGGGGGAAATCGAAAGGGGAGTGAAAAAACCTCGACATCAGCTGCTCCAAAGTTTGAAAATGTTTTCTAGATTTAGAAGCATGAATATTAGAGGAACACATTTTCAGAGGGGCAATCTGACACATTCTATTTAAATTTAAACCTGTAATGTTCTTAAGTGAAATGTTAAACGCAGCAAAAATGGCTCAGTAACGGTTTGGGCAATATCACGTGGATGCCACTGGGTTAGTGTTAGTAGATAATTGAATATCACTTGCCAACTGATGGCACAGTTCCCTTCAGATCTTACACCTAAATGTTGTTTTTATTAGTTGTCCACACTACAGTCAAATATGTTCCACAAGTGAATTTCTGAATGAATAAAATGTTTGTTATTGATACATATCACAGGCATCATTTTGAAAATGTTGCACAAGGGTCTGAGAAAAATTGTGTAGGGATCAGAGAGTACTAAAAATCACTGTGACAGGGGTCTTAAAGTTGAACTTCAGAGGAATAAAAGGCAGACACTTGTTTTATTTAGTATTTTCCTACACGTGTCTTCACAGTTATGAGATTTTAGTTTAGTAAAATGTAGATACAGAATTACAAAGAAAGGTTCTTCCTGCCTTTCTGTCTGTTGAGTTTTAATTTTATCCAGCCTCCCTTAAATACACGCAGCTATACCAAAGAAAGCCTGTGCAACATGCATCATGTTTCATTCTTCCTTTGGGATTATTAAAATCTCTATAAAAACAAATTGGAAAGATTTTTAAAAACAGATTTTTTTTCCTTTTAGTGGGCTTTGGGTCCTGCCTTTAGTCTTCCAGAATCAAATTAGTTATTGCAGTTATAGTTACATAAGATACAGAACAGGCATTATCTATTTATAATGTATCTGGAATACTGTAATAAAACCTGTGTCTTCTCCATGCAGGTCAAAGGGAGACAGCACTGGGGATGTTTATATGGAAAGCTCAGTCAGAACAATCCCATGGTGCTCAAAAATCTGTATGAGCACACAGCAATAGATTTCTATACACTTTCAGTAGGAGCTTTCAAGTGCCTTGAAGATAAATTAAAATTAAGGAAAAAAACATTCCCTCAGTAATAGATTTCCATACATTTTCAGTACGAGCTTGGTGAGAGCTTTCAAGTGCATTAAAGATAAATTAAAATGAAGGGGGAAAATGAAATTCTCCCAGGAGTTCATTTTGCTGCATTTCCAGAGTACACAACTTGCTTCACTCACCGTAGTACTGGAGGGGCTCGGGAAGGCCGTACCCGTCAGGGACCGTGACAAACGTGTTGGCCATGCTCTGCTCCCAGCTGCACTGCTTCATCCACTCTGCTCTGAGACCAGCCTTTAAACAGCAACCTGGGGAAAGGGGAAAGGAGGAGAAACATCCCGTGGGAAGGAATTGCTGGGTAGGTTAGACAGAAAACTCCAGAATATGGCAGAGTTTTCAGACCATAAGAAAATCAGATGTCTGTGTGAAGTCACATAACACCCTCAACAAGACTACAAAATGTTTGAGTGTCCTGCCATTACAGATTCAGGGTAAAATTCTTTCAGGGTAAAAGTTTCCAAGTTATAGCTAGAAATGTTTTGCTCTGAGTTTTACACAAAACCAAGTGGGGGAATTGGACTGGTAAATTCTCTAATTCAGAGAAAGTTAAAAGGAGCTTAACTGGATAGAATAAACTTGCTTTGGGCATGAATTGGAGCATTTGCTCTGGTGTGTATGTGGGGCTGTCCTGTTTGTGTACAAAGATGGGCTTTTAATGAGTTTATTTCATTCACTTTTTATGCAGAGTTGAAGCAAGGAAAATAGCATGGAAAGGCCAGCATGGAATATCTGTTCTTCATCATGTGAAAGTACTAATTTGTGCAGTAAAACTCAACTTTGCCTTGCTTAAGCACTGCTTGAATTACACTTCCTGTGTTCCTTTAACAGTGTAAAGTTTTCAATGAAGACCAAAATATTGGTTTCCTATAGGATGTGCTGCCTCTAAAGAGCTTTCCACTGCCCCTTGGTCATTAAAGGAGCCTGGGCTCCTGACTGGATTCACTGACATTCCTAATAAAGTGCACTGAGAGCTCACAGTGACATGGGAAGAGCTGCTGTGCTTGGAATTCAAAACTTACCTCATTTTTCAGTAATTTGACTTACAAATTCAAATTTAGAGAAGTTCTGAAAATGTGTGCTTTAAAAACTCTTTAAAAAAAGTCTGTATGGACAGTGGCCCAAGCTGGGTTTGAGTTTACACACCTACAGCAAACCTCTGGTGTTGCTTAGAATTGAGAGCTAACAGGGCAGCCATTAGAGGAGGAAGTAGGAATATTTTCCTTGCCTCCTTGTCCCTCTGCATGAGTGGGATGTGGCCACAGGTTAAACCTTTGCTGAGCCTCATGCCCCCTGAGCGAGGGCTGTAAGAGACAATTTGCCCAAAAACCACTCACCGGCTTTCCCTGAGCAGACAGGAAGGATAGAAAAGATGAAAAAGGCACGGAAGGATTTGGAAAATACAGCAAATCCAACTCCTTCAACAGGATTCTCTGCAGAATTTACAGCAAGTTGGGGTTAAAGACCCTCCCTGAAGGAAGGGGTTTGTGCTGTACCTGTGCCTTGCTGCAGCTGAGACAATGAATGAATCACCCCGGGGAATCTGAAGTCCTGACTGGTAAAACACACATCCCTTCCCCCAGACTGCACAGAGCTTGGGGCTGACCACTTTCACTTCGTGTTGTCAGCAGAAGGTGAAAGGATGCAGTGAGGCTGGAATGCTGGGGGTTTGTTATCTCTGCTAGTAAATATTTGTTTGAGAGCAAAATAAGTCACTGAATCATGAGGTCTTATCAGTTAGATCAATTTGGCCTGGGCAAAGTCTACATTTTTTCCCAAAAATGTGTATTTGCTGAAGAAACATGTTTCTGAATTCCAGTGGTTTCTTTAAATAAAAGTCATAATTGAATAGCAGATAAAAAACTACACTGATCCAGTCTAATAAAAGCAGTATATTGGGAGTATGAAGTACCAAATGTAAGGTGGTCGTTGGCTTAAACATTCTAAAACTTAGAGCATCTTAGTTATTGTATGAGAAAGGATTCAGCCCTTCTTACTGATTTTTGTGGCTAATAACAGTAACCAGTGGCACCTACGAAATTCCAGCTTAGATTGAGACTTTGTAAACTGAAATCTTAAATTAAGAGAATTAAGAGGATGTTAGAACAGTGGGAATAGTAAATCAAATGGTTGTCTGAGGAATGCTCTACTGTCTTAGAATGAGACATGTGTAAGCATTAAGAGTTTCATTTTCTGACATTTGAGAATTTAGTGTTGACAAGCTTGTTCTGATCAAACAAAGCGCTGGGATTTTAAAACAAAAAAGAAAAACAAAAAAAAGACGAGAATAAGATCTGTAAGGAAGGAACTTCATTTCCAAGGCCAGGCAAGTTTTGATTATTTATGAGTGACTGTGAGAGTCGTGAGGTGAGCGAGGCAGCAGCAGGGAGGCCTTCTCCAAACTGCAGCAGTCCCTGGGATTCCATGATCCATGTGCTGCTCTCCCCAAGGCTCTGTGGCCATCCCAAACCCCTCACACCTCATGGGACACTTCCCCAGCCCACACAGACAGTGACTTTATCCAGGCAGGGGAATTCTGCACGTGCCCAGCATGGTGGAGCTCCTGACACAAGGTAGCAGACATGCCCAGATGTAATGTCCAAAGCACTAACTGGAACACAGCTGAAGTAAGAATGGAGCAACGGGTTTGGATGCTTGTCATGCCCAAAGCAAAAGGTTTTGTGCCCCTTTTTCTCTTCTCTGTGTATTCCCAATATAAATACATATTTGTACATGAGCGCTTTAAAAGGAAGCAAAAATCTAAATACATTCCCAGAGAGGATGCATAAAGGACTTTAGCCTAAAAAGTGGAAATATCTGGGAAGAAAAGATGAATTTTTGAATGACTTATTTTGTAGCATCCCAAGCAGTAACACACTTAGGGTGGGAGCCTTGAGCCCTGAGTCCCACAGACTGAGCTCAGAAAATGTCACCTGTGTAAAGCACACGCTGTTCCTGCTTCTTCTGCTACTGGGCATTTTCACATGTGAAGTCCAGAGCAGGTGAGGGGAATGGTGACCTACACTCAAGGTGGCTTAAGCATGTTTGAAAATGTTGTGCTTTTACAGGCTTAGTTTTGTCAGTGCCAATCTTCTGAACTGCAAACGCTCAGTATAAACCAGAATGTGTTGATTCAAGGGCTTGGTTATCCATCTCATGCAGAAATTTAGTTCTTAGTCCCAGCTGAAAGACTTGACAATTTATCAAAAGTGGGATCCACTAAAGAAAAAAAAAATTGATTGATAAAAGTAAAGTAGAACCATAAATAGAATACACATGTCCAGACTAGAATCTGAACTTTACATCTATTTATTTCTATTTATGGTGAAAGATGTGGGGTTTATCATTTTTATTGCTATAAAACCCCATATCATAAAACAACATATCATCAACTTATCAAATTTATTGGGATACAAAACATCCTTCATGGAGCAGGGCTACAGGGAGCCCTTTCAGAGGTCGGTACTGACAGTGCTTTAGCTGCTATCATAAATATTTTGACAGTTGAGTCATGGGGAAATTTCTTGTTTACAGGGAATTTTAGGAACTCGAGCTGAAGGCCTTCACCATCTATTTAGCACACCTTGGGGCACGTTAGTGGTCACGTAGTGGAACTCAGAGCAAGTTTCAGGCTCAGGTTTAATCACTGTACTTTGCTTGCAGCTGGAAGGCAAAGCTTATTTTTTCTTTTTTAATTTGTAAAAATTTAAACCAAAAACTGGAAAAAAAAAGTAACTGAGCCTAATCAGTGCCAAGTAGGTGTGATACCAGCTAATCTATTCAATTTCACTCAAGTATTTCAGTAATCACTGCTTGATTACAGAATGATTTGACAGGGGAACTTGTAGGATTACTTTATTGATCCTGTATGCAGCTTACACACATTATTAAAGGTTTTTCTGTTCCTCCTGGTTTAATGTGCCAAGAAGCTCCCCAAAGCTGCTCTTTGAAGAAATTCCACTTTTCTTCTTATTAAATGTGTTCCTTCCTGGTTATTATATTCCATATATTCCATATAATAACCATAATAGGAACTGGCTTATTTCACTGATGGACTACATTGCAATTATCTTGAAATTTTCCTTTGAAGTTGTTAATCTTCCATTAATAATATCAAAAGCATAATTTTTATACATTCTAAAATAAGAGATTAGAGGTTGTTTGAAACTCACAGTTTTCTGGGTACTTTTGGGAAGGGAAATAAATAACTGAATTTAAAAGTCATTTTTCTTCACTCTGTGTGTCAAATCAAGAACTGTTGGAACAAATCCTTGGCAGCAGAATATCAGATCTAAAAGTGCACGTTTGCCGTTTTCTTTTAGTCAGACGTTTAAAAAGAAAGGAAAAAAATGAGGAAAAGAAGAAAAAAGGACTATTTTCACATGGCAAACTGATGTAGGGCTCGAGCAGCAATTGGTAACTCAGAGCATGCAGAGAAGGGAACGGAATACTCACAGTGGCTGCAGGGAGCTCCTCTCCCGGCGCGGGCTCCGTGGGGCTGCAGCGCCGGTCCCAGCTCTGCTGCAGCTGGAGCCCAGCAGGCCTTTCCCTATTTATCAGTTTGTGTGCACAGCCCGGGCTCCAGACACTCGGCAGAGCCACGCCGCGGCTCCGAGACACCAACTTCCCACACGGCTCCTCTGGGGTCGGAGCAAGGGCAGCTGCGAGCCCACATAAATCACAGCAGAACTGGGTCATCAGGGACAGAGGCCATGGGGACCCTCACGTCACTGCTTCCCAGAGCCCTGCCTGCCCAGCACTAGGATTCTGCTTTCCTGCTAGAATGCAAAATTCTCCCATTTTGGTTGCTTCACGTTGACATGTCAGGGTGGTGATGGAAAATGTTCGATTCCCAAGAGAGGAAAATATTGCAGTAGCATTATTTGGAGATTTTTACATGACATAATAATTTAATTTGGAAAGGCTGGATCAGGCCAGGACCTCCAAATACCAACCACTTACCTTGTCCTCCGTGTTCTGATCCAGACACTCCTCTGGCTCACTCTCAGTTCATTGGCAACCTCAGTGAACTGGAGTTCATGTTGCCATTAACTCAGCAAAATTTCATTCTTAAACCCCAAGTATTTCCATTATTAGTAACTCCTAATAAATTAATATTACAATTTGGTGTTTTCGTTGTTTCCTAGGTAGATGTGACCTTTTGGGTAGGGAATATTCTTGTTAGGTATCCTGCTGTTCCAGTGTTCCCAGGCAGGTGAGCTCCTCCTCACTCCAGGAGAAGCTCACCTGCCTTCTGTGTAAGATCAGTTCTCCATTCACCTCAGGAAAAACTGCTTCTGTTGGATACTGCATGGAATTAGATGGGAAAAGGAAAACAGAATTTCCTGTGGGGTAACTTACAGCAAAGTCACTGAAAATACTCTTTTGGGACAGTAGCTTTTCGTGGATAAACAGCCATCACCTTTGAAAGGAGGGACATATTTCTGTTCCATGGGCTGCAGAGAAGAGCTGCCCTAAGGCTGCTTATTTCCAGGTGCCATTTACAACTCTCTCTGTGGAGTAGAATGGTTGAGTCTTTCAAGAACAAACAGCATTGACTAATAAATGTTATTTGAGCATATTATGGGGTTTTCTAAGTTTTCAGATGTCCTGCATTGATCATGTGTGGTGATGGGGGGCTGCAACACAGCGATTATGCAGCAGAAATGAAGATAATGATGTTCTAAGCTTAATTATGCTCAGCACTTGTCTTTCTGGTAAAAGCAGACTCATACAGAAACTTGCCAAGTTGCCAAAAAAACTTCAATAGTAAAACTGAAGGTTTTACAATTGATATAACAAATATTTTTTTTCGCAGAAGTATCTCTTTCACAATATGCCATTGACTTTTTCATCCAGCCTTTCTCATGAAAGTTGGAAAAACAAGCAGAGGTTTTTGAAGAATTGTGGCTAGTTTTTAAATGCTACTGACTTTTATTTTTAGCATTTTTTGCTGACAGAAGGCACCTTACTGATAAGCTGTTCAAATTAGCTGTAGGATGTGGGTATTTAGAGCTTGTTGACTCTAGGGGACTTAAGCCTGAAGCCCAGGTTTTTAAAAGGCATCAAATCCCCATTCTACTCAGTTTATAAAGCCTACTGGTTTCAGGGTAAATTCAGTTTCTAAAGTCAGTATATAAATAAGTTTATGTAATAACTATATAGAAGTTGTAGTAGAAATGAATTGCTGTAATTAAGTATTAGCCCAAGGTCAATTAACTCCCACACTGTAGTAAAGAAACTATTTTGCATAATCATGAAGTGATTCAGACCAGGTGACTGGCTAAATACATATATTTATGTAAATATAGATATTTACATTATTTTAATAAATCACTGCTCCTATTCAAAGCTTAGCATGACAAAAATGGGAGACTTGAGGGCACACTTGAGTCACCTAAAATACTGCTGCAAAGAAGAGGAAAATAAACTCTTTTCCATGCTTGTAAATAATCAAAAACCAGAAAGGTTATTTAGGAGTAAGGGAGATTTAAATTACAAACCAGAGAAAGCAATTACTGGGGTAAAAATAGCACTGGAACAAGTTCCTTGTACAATCTTCTCCACTGGCCGTTTTGAAGATCAGTTTGGGCAACCAGATTGAACTCAAGAATTGTTTTCTCTGAGTTGCTTTGGTTTGGAAAGAGGACGTTTTGCAAAGGACTTTGGAAAGCTCTCTTCCAGCTCTGTTTTCTGTTATTTTTCTATACCTACATCAATTCTGTAAAACAGTGCTGAAGTCTCTGGTCAGTAACATGCCCAGAGCCACTTCAGTGGCAAAGGAAATAATATCAGACTCCAAGCTTGCTTTACTAGCAGTAAGTAAACAAAGTGTCACTCAGAGATACGGCCTGAAAATAGGAGCTGAAGGAGTTCCTGCCACGAGCCAACATCCAGAAGTGGCACTGAAGTGGGGAATAAGGGACACACATGTTTTCCATAGAAAAGGAGCAGATCTGGTGACAGCAGCCTGACCTGGACACTGCTGCAGCACTTGTGCAGCCCCACTGCCACCGCTGCAAATTGGGAGCTCTGGGCAGCCAAATCCCTGTGGAGATTGGGCAGCTGGCTCCAAGGCTCTGATGGGAGATGAAGAAAGAGCTTCCCTGGGTCCATACCTGCTGAGAGAATCCGTTTTCAAGGTCAGCACAATTCTTTGTTCATCTGGACTGGAGATTCCAGATGTCTGTGACTCATTTGGTAACCGAATAGTTAAAGGAAATCACATCTACTCCAGCTGGATCTTCTCTACATAAATGACCCGTTTGGCTTGATCTGCTATTGGATTGTTTACGTAACTTCAGTAATTAACCACTATCAGCCTCATTAATGAAACATAAACCACCTCTTCTGCTCATTTATAAAGCATTTGTCAAACAAAACTCAAACAAAGGGCAGAATCTCAGCAAAGTAACAGCCCTCCAAGAGCTACTGAGCCCTGACTGCAAGGCACAGCAGTCACTCTGTTGTTGTTTTTCAGTAGAACTGAAGCAGAAGTGATGGCATTGTCTATTGCTCTTGGCTAACTTCTCCCCAAGCCATCTGAGATCTGTCACATGAGGGCAAGGATGCCTGGACAACTATTTTGGCCATTTCAGTACAAAATACTGATGTTCCAGCTCATTACTGTAAATCATTAAATGATGAAAGCAAGAGTCAAATACTAAATGATTAAAGCCCTCAGAAAACTAATTGCTAATTACAGTAATTGTTGTTCTGTGTGAGTTAAAGGTTATATTAAAACAATGACTATTTCATTACCAGATTAAATCTTTCCTGTTTGTAAACTGTTCTGAGCAATATTACAGAAAAAATACAGATAATGTCTCAAAATTATCCAACCTAATCTTTACCTATTTTTGTGTCAGAGAAATAAAATGGTTCAGAGGCATAAAATACACTGGCAGACACATCCATGCCAAAAGTTTTGTGATCTGAGACCTTGGATTTCCTTTCCAATTTGTTGAGGAACTCATGAAAACACAAATTTTCTGTTCCCCCTCTCTTCTATTATTTATAGATCTTCCAAAGGTTCAGGAATGCTGACACTGTTGGGATTGCTCCTCATGGGTGTGGATGAACCTCTCAGTCCTGGGTGAGAAGCAGCCCAAAGCCATGTGAGCATGATCGTGTCTGTTGGTGTTACCTTGCACAGTGAGCAGCTCCCATTTAGCACTGCAGAGGTGTTCTTGGGTGTGAGAAATAGAAATACTCTTTGTTTTGCATCAAATGTATCAGACAAATCCTCACGATCAAATTGGATGAGAAGATGGAAGTTCTTGTTAAATTCTGAAATGCTTTCGTGGGATTAAATGATGAAATATCAGACCAGAGAGGAAGAACAATTTTGGTCTTTTTAAGACTGATTTTTTCTTAATCATAAAGCTGTTGGATAGTTTCAACTTCCATTTTCTTACAGGCTTGTAAGGCCAATCTTGAAGAACTAAATATTATGTCAAGTTTCAGTCAAAGAGCCAGACTGCCTTAAACTCACTGGAAAATCTCAGCCCACAAAACGTTACTGTTTCTTCTGTTTATTCTCTTAAACTTAATCTGCAGGGCCTGAAGGCAGATTAGGTACAATAAACCCATCCATTCAACCTTCACAAAGTTCCTGGGTACCCTGACACCTCCCCCTTTCAGTACCCTCTGCCAAATCTGTTTCCCCTTGGCTGGAAGACCAAGATTTGTTAATAAAATGCTCCAGCGAGGCACAAGGTGGAAGAAAGCAAAGCTATCAATTAAACTGGATTACAATCCCAAGAGCTGGTAGTTCACAGAGAACACTCATAACTACAGGCACTGCAGTACTTTGTAGGTACAGCAAAGGGAAGCCAAGACCTCATTTCCATACAGCAGATCCTGACACTGTGTTAAGCATTACAAAACAATTATTGTGGAATGTCTTGCTCAGCATTTTATCAGCAGTGTTCTTGCTGCTGAGACTGAATTAACTGGATGTGTCCATTTATCAATGATAATGTTTTTCCTTTTTTCCAGCCTGGATTCCATCTTGAGGACATTTGTTTTAACAGTAGAAAGAATATTAGACTCATAAGTGTGAGTGCTGTGGTGCAGTGAGTGACTCCTCAAGATTTATCAATGCAAGATAATTAGGATGAACAATAAGACTGAGTTCCTTGGTTATAACTTTTGTCACAGGACAACTCTGCATTATGCCACGTTAATCTACCTTGAAGTATGGGTTGGGAAGTGCAAGAGGAGATTCCTTTGGGCTCCTGGCCCATGAGTCTCTGTGCTACACTTTTGTTGAAAGCAATACCAGTGAAATTGTGACAGTAGCTGAGAGCGGTCTTAACACTACCACTTCATTTGAAAAGAACACAGTCAGAAAGTGTTGGGGTGTGTGGTGTGAGAGGGGGCTGGTTTGCTTTTTAAACAGCTGTAGCTGCTGAAATAGTTGGGGTTTGAAGGAAGGACTTGTAATGGAAATGAGAATTGTCACATTCATTTCTAAAAAGCTTGTGCCCAGCTGCATCACCATGGGAGACTTGTGCTTTTAGATACTTAGCCACAATGTTTCTACCTCTGCTGACTGCTCTTACAATTAATATAATTTTACTGAAAATCCAAGAAGTATCCTAGAAATTTGCCCTTTATTAGTTTCTCTACTTTCAATATCTAGATGTCACTCCATCTGTCACAGACATTGCCATTTGATACATGGATTCTGTTCACAGAATCCAGAATGGTTTGGGTGTGAAGGGACCTTAAATCCCGTCTTGTTCCACCCCCTGCCATGGGCAAGGTCACCTTCCACTGTTCCAGGCTGCTCCAAGCCCTGTCCAGCCTGGTCTTGGACACTTCCAGGGATCCAGGGGCAGCCCCAGCTGCTCTGAGCACCCTGTGCCAGGGCCTGCCCACCCTCTCAGGCAAGAATTTATTCCATATATATCACTTGAATTTCTGCTCTTTCAGCCTGATCCCATTTTCCCTTGTCCTTTCCCTGCAGTTCCTGACGAGGGGTCCCTCTCCAGCTTCCCTGTAGCCCCTTCAGACCCTGGAAAGGGTTATGGGGTCTCCACAGAACTTTCTCTTCTCCAGGCTGAACAGCCTCAGCTCTCTCAGCTTGTATCCATGGGGGAGGTGCTCCTGGGCCCTGACCAATTTTGTTCACTTTTTGTCCATCTAGATTTCTTTGTGATTTTCTTACTGCTAGCAAGAGCCTCCTCAGCTGTCTTTGTGATTTTCCTACTGCTAGCAAGAGCCTCCTCAGCTGCACTCAGAACTGTTGTGTATTTATCCCACCAGAGAAATACTATTTCTGATTTTCCAAAGATGGCCTGGAAGCAGTTTGGGCTCTGCAGCAGCACTGTTGTTCTGAGTGTCCCAGTACTCTGCCATCCAGCCTTCACTTCTGCTACAACAACCCCATGTTCTGTTTGACAAAATACAGCCATGTGGTTAAGAGTTATTAAAAGCATTAAAACATTAACCTCTTGTAACCCCATTTTTCACTTTGTACACACACATAAGTGTTTAATCGAATTGAAGTTAAACACTAAAAAGTTTGAGAGGCCAAATTTATACATTCTATTTAGTTTACACAGAATTGCTGTGATAAGCCAAAGGAATTACAAGGCACCCCTACTCAGAAATGCTCATCTGTTGATTTGTTTAAGCTCTGTTGCTACACACTCGAAGTTTTGGTGACAAGCATTCCCAGCATTTAAACCAAGGAGCTTTGTCCTACTGGGATCCTCTCTGTGTCCTGGCGCCACAGGAACTCACTCTGCTGTCCCTTGGAGCTGGACAAATGGTTCTGTGTCCAGATCTGCTGGAGAGGGGCTGAGCCCCAGCCCCCAGTGGGAGCATGGGCTCAGGGCAGTGTGGAAGCGGTGTTGTAGATTCTCATCTCCCTTATCCTGGAATTTTATTCCTCAAAGCCAGAATGCCCCAGAGGAAATGAACTGATCCTGAAATGACAGTCTGGTACAGCAGTGCTGCCCTCACCTACCCCTGCTTGTCCCTATGGGCAGGGAAGGCCAGGATGGCACCAGGGGGAAGTGAGTGGTAAATCAGAATTATAAACTCAAGAGCAGAGGAGGGAGCTCAGACCCATCCTGGTGCAGCTCCTGTGGGGATGAAATGATCCTTCACACTGCCCACACCATGGGCTCCTTCAGCTGATTTCCTACGGATGTGAGCTGGAATTCCCAGTGCCCATCTCTAAATGGCTCTGAGTGCCTGAACTCAGTGGAACCTCAAGTTTGCTTTCACAGAAATCCCTGTGTTGGATAAAGCGAAAAGGGAAAGATGGCTCTGGCACACAGAGCTGTGTCAGGGCTGCTTGTGGAAATGGGGGCTGTGGGAGAGGCTTTGGAGGCAGGCACGGAGCTGGGAGCAGGAGCAGAGGGAGGCAGCAGCAGGTGCTGAACTGCACACGAGGGGTCACGTCACGAGGGGGAAACCAGCGCTGGCCATGGCTCAGGGGTGATGTGTCCATTTTGGGACAGGCCAATCTTTACCCAGCTTGTTCCAAGCCAGGATGGCCCACACAGCAATATTTGTCAGTTTCCCAAGTGTTCATGACTTGCTGATTAGGAAAAAGGAATTCTGATAAACTGTCCAAATTTCTAGTATTCTGTAATAAGATGAAAAATAGGGAAGGACCAGAAGGTGAAATATGCTATAACCATGGTCTGGACTTTTATTTCCAAACTAGCGGAAGGATTACATTTCCCAAATTTGCAGAATAGCTCTCATACTTTACTAATTAATCTGATTCTGATGAAATATTCCAACTGCAGCTGCTTACCCTGTTCTCTTTTGCATTGTGTGCATGTTTTGAGATTGTTGCTTTTATAAAATTATCTCGTTCAGCACTTCTGCACCAGGCTTGATTATCTCTGGGATCATAAAGAACCTTCATCTGATAAAGCATCTTGGAGTTTTCTCATGTGTCTGTCTGAATAGGGATTTAAATCGGAAAGATGATTCAAATCAAAGGCAGTCCTGCTAAAATATTATTGTTGAAAACGTTGTTAATGAAGTCGGTGCTATTGAACAAAACTTTGTGGCACAAAGCCTCAAGGACACCCCGGATCACCAACAGTAGCTTCAGTTAGCAAATAAGAATCAAAGCAGCGAGTCAGCATTGCACAGCTTGTTATTTTGAGTGGCGGATGTTTACTGTTGGCAGGGACAAACAGCGGGATCAGATAAGATGGGAGCCCCGCAGATCGCAGCCGGGATTGATCGCGCTGGGAGGGAGCAGCCGCAGAGATAAGCGGGACCCGGGGTCAGGGCCGCCGGCCCTCCGCAAACAGCCGGTGTCGAGCAGCGGCCGCTCGGAGCCGGCCTTGTCCCGGGCTCCCCCGCCCGCGCTGGGGCCGGGCCGCTGCGGCGAGCCCGGGGCTCTCGGGGCACGGGGGGCTCGGACACGCGGGACCGCGGCGCGGGCGGCTCGTGGGAGGGGGGCACGTCCAGCTGGGGCAGGCGGCTTTGGGACGCCGTGTGCCGCGGAGCGCGGTGTCCGCTCGCCCCAAAACGCCCCCAAACACCCCAAAATCAGCCAAAGCTCCGGGGCTCCGAGCATCCCCCGGGAACGGCGGGGACAGCCCTGGCCCCGCCCCCGGCTCTTGGCCCCGCCCCCGGACCGACTAACCGCCGCGTGGCCTCGCCCCCAGACCGACTAACCGGCGCTTGGTCACGCCCCCGGACCGAGTAACCGGCGCTCTGGCCCCGCCCCCCGGCCCGGCCGTGGCGCTCTGGCGCCGCCAGGCGAGCCCCTAGCGGATCGGCGGGCTCGCGCCGGTCCGCGCCTGCGCACTGGCGGCGCCGTGGCCGCGGGCGGAAGCGCCGTCCCGGCCCCGGGGGTTCGCGTCCGCACGCGCCCGGCGGCT